GGTGGCTCTTGGGGTCTCTCGGGGCCTTGTTCGGACTTCGGCGTTGCAGAGGTTTTATTCATTTAAAGGTCAGGGAACCTATTAATGAATTTTTCGCCAATGAGTATTTCAATCGCTAGGGTTTAAGCTCGGGTTCAGGGTAGCCTCGGCCCTTTTCGGGCCTTCGGCAAGTTAGGGCCCGTAGAGGCCCTTATTTGCTTGAAGGCCTTCGCAGGGTTTTGCGGTGGTTTTAGCTGGGGTTGGGGGTAGCCTCGGCCCTTTTCGGGCCTTCGGCACGTTAGGGCCCGTAGAGGCCCTTATTTACTTGAAGGCCGTTGTAGGGTTTTGCGGTGTTAGGGTTTAGGTTGGGGTTCGGGGTAGCCTCGGTCCTTTTCGGGCCTTCGGCACGTCAGGGCCCGTAGAGGTCCTTGCTGATTTGGGGAGAGCCATCGATTTCAGTACTAAAAAAGAACATTTTTCATTGCGGGCAGGGGTGCCTAAAACCATCGTTTTCAATATTCAAAAATCGCATTTTTCATGGTGGGCACGGACAAATCTTGAGGTCCCCCTTCTTTTAGTGGGCCTTTTGAAGCTTTGGAAGCCTTTTGGTGGCTCTTAGCGCCTCTGGGGCTTCCAAGGCGTGCGATTCGCCAAGGTGGCTGTCTTCCTGTATCTTTTTTCTAACTTGCCGTGTCTCTCTAGCCACATGAGATGCCAAAAAACTTACACCTCTGCCATGTAGATGCGCAGAACAGCCCAAGTCCAAGATCCGCCTGCCGTGTTTTGCTTCGAGGCCCTCCCGGGCCAGTCAAGGGCCTCCCCATGAAACCAACTGGCTTGAGCCACCCTTGGCCCCGGGGGGGCTCCGGGGGCCCTTGGCCCGGGGGCCCTTGGCGGGGGGCCCTTGGCCCGGGGGCCCTTGGCCCGGGCAGCCCTTGGCCCGGGAAGAAGGGCCCAAAAAAAGCACGAAATTGAGCAACCAGCCTGCCTGGACCCCTCGCCAGCCTCCTGGTCCAGGAATCCAGCTACCAGGGACCAGGGGGCCCCCGGGGGGGGAACCCGACAAACCCTGAACCCAAAACCCTGAACCGACCTCAGAAATGAAGGGTTATACTTTAGCTACGCTAAAGGTGGTCTGGGTGCCGGCCATCCCTTAGCCGAGTACTGACGTTGTCGTAAAAAAGGCCGATGTCCGTTGGCCTGTCCAGGACAGACGGTGAGGCTTAACCCTCACCTTTCCGTTTCTCTTTTCGCTTGGGCGCTCGGGCTGTAAGGCCCTCGGCCGAGCGTTCGGGGTCTGTCGCTCGACGGAAGCGACCCCTCACTTAGTTAGGGTATAGGGTATAGGGCTTAGGGTTTAGGGTTTAGGGTTTAGGGTTTAGGGTTTAGGGTTTAGGGTTTAGGGTTTAGGGTATAGGGTTTAGGGTTTAGGGTTTACGGTTTAGGGTTTAGGGTTTAGGGTTTAGGGTTTAGGGTTTAGGGTTTAGGGTTTAGGGTTTAGGGTTTAGGGTTTAGGGTTTAGGGTTTAGGGGAGGGTGGGGAGACATGACGGCAAGGGTCCACACCTTTCCCCGTGGTACCCTTCCTAAGCCCCTGCAACTTGAAAGACTGGGTGGGCCTTGGGAGATTTTACATCGGGTTTGAGGGGATCATACTTTGGCATATTTTTCAGAGGGCTTAAAGGCATCCCCTTGTCCCTTAAGCCCTAAAGCTTCAAAAAAGGACCTTTGTTCCTAAACCCTACTAGCCTTGAACCCCAATCACGCTAAACCTAAGAACCCTAAACCCTAAACCCGAAACTCTAAACCCTAAACCCTAAACCCTAAACCCTAAACCCAAAATCGGCAAGCGAGGTTGCCAGCCCGGCGTGGACGCAGTTGACTCCCAGTGGTAGCCCACCATCATCCCGCCACCGGGCGGCAGATGCAGGCAACTCCTAAGCGCAGTCCCAACAAATCCTCTATATTTGGGGTTTAGGGTTTAGGGTTTAGGTTTAGGGTTTAGGGTTTAGGGTTTAGGGTTTAGGGTTTAAGCTTGTGGGATTCGGGTTCAGGGTTTAGGGGGTTTGAAGGCTCCGTACTGCAATAGGAGCCTCAGCAAGACGGGACCATAGCTTGGAGAGATGTTCATGTGGGGGTCGTTGGCCTAAGCACCTCGCTGTCGAGGCTTCTGGGCAACTGAGTTCGACATGGAGTCCAGGGTTTAGGGCTTAGGGCTTGGGGCTGAACTCTTAGGGTTTCGGGTTTAGGGTTTAAGGTTTAGGGTTTAGGGTTTAGGGTTTAGGTTTAGGGTCAGAGACTGAAGATGTACCTTCTAGGTAAGGTAGACGTGTTTTCTCTAGGCGCCAAGTAGAGGCGAAAGCCACAGAAGGGTCTGCTGAGCAGCGCAGGCCAAGCGGTTCAGGGTTTAGGGTTTAGGGTTTAGGGTTAAGGGTTTTGGGTTCTGGGTTTAGGGTTTAGGGTTTAGGGTTCAGGGTTCAGGGTTTAGGGTCTAGGGTCTAGGGTTTAGGGTGTAGGGTTTAGGGTTTAGGGTTTAGGGCACGGGTGGTTTAGAGTGCTTGATGTTTAGGGCTTCGGATTTGGAGATTTGCCCAACAGATTTGCCGTTGTCGGTTGAAGGCTTAGGGTTTTCCGACAGCGCTGGTACTCTGAGCGAAATCCTAAACCTCGAAACCCTAAACCCTAAACCCGAAACCTCAGATCCGAAACCCGAAACCCCAAGCCTAGGACTCCAGGAGAGATACTGACCTGATGAGGATCTTCGACTTTCTGTTCTTGTTTTCGCCCTGCTGTCGGCTGTTGTAGGGGCGTGTTGTCCCTAGCGTTTAGGGTTTAGGGTTTAGGGTTTAGAGTCTAGGGACTAAAGAATCATACTAGGTGTATGGCTCAGGTTTTCTGAGGGTAGTTTCATGGGCCCATAATATGGTCCCTTACCTCCTTCAAAGGGTTCTGAGGTATGGCCCCTTGTGTTGAGGGTATATAAGGGGCATATAAGGGGTAACTACCCTGAGAGGTTTTGTTTTGTTTAGCGACGACAGTCCCTGCTAGGCAACAGGGATCTTTCCTAGTTCATCCTGCCATTGGACATGGCTTCGAGGGGAGTTCCGTTCGCTTGAAGATTCACGTGCAGCTATACATGTGATTGCAAGTAGGGCAAACCCTTCTTTAAATTTCATGACGATTCTACTGACCTCCCTCACGAACAGGATTAAGGAACCCCAAACCCTAAACACTAAACTCTAATTAAACCCTAAACCCTAAACTCTAACCCCTAAACCCCTAAACCCCTAAACCCCTAAACCCCTAAACCCCTAAACCCCTAAACCCCTAAACCCCTAAACCCCTAAACCCCTAAACCCCTAAACCCCTAAACCCCTAAACCCCTAAACCCCTAAACCCTAAACCCGGTTAGCTTTGGGTCCGTCTCAGGTTATCTCCACACCGCTGTGTATGCGCCGAATGGGCAAATGTGGATCTTCGGTGGCTACGACAGCAGCAGCCGCGGCCCTGGGCCAGGTTTAGGGTTTAGGGTTTATAGGGTTTATAGGGTTTATAGGGTTTATAGGGTTTATAGGGTTTATAGGGTTTATAGGGTTTATAGGGTTTATAGGTAGGGTTTATAGGGTTTATAGGGTTTATAGGGTTTATAGGGTTTATAGGGGGTTTATAGGGTTTATAGGGTTTATAGGGTTTATAGGGTTTATAGGGTTTATAGGGTTTATAGGGTTTATAGGGTTTATAGGGTTTATAGGGTTTAGGGTTCAGGGTTCAGGGTTTAAGGTTCAGGGTACCAACACCCCTAAAACCCCAAAGACCCAAAGCATGAACCCTTAATCTCACTTAGGTACGTAGCCAGCCTAAACCCTAAACCCTAAACCCTAAACCCTAAACCCTAAACCCTAAACCCTAAACCCTAAACCCTAAACCCTAAACCCTATACTCAGGGCCTAGGCCGCCCCCCTACGTTGGGGGGCGGCGCTTAAGCCCTTGACCTCGATGGCACAAGCCGTCCTCCCACAAGGGAACCTTTAAGAAGCTTAGGCAGCCTCATAAGGGAGTATTGGAGTTTTAGGGAACCTTGGGTTACATACCCCCCTTGAACCGCCCTCCCTTAAAAACCCTATACTTGGTTTGTGGGTTTGACATCTTTTCAGCGCTGCTAGTCCCTGTTAAGAGTCCCTGCTAAGCATCAGCAGTGATCTAGGATGACCAGTAGTGCCCTTGTTCTCTTTTCGGGGTGTTTAGGTTCCCGAATAAACCCCTTAAAGCAAAGAAGGGGCGCCCTTTTTACTCCTAGGTTAGTGGGCAACCTCGGTTACTAGACATGGCTTTGAGGCAGTTCCATTTTGCATGAAGGTTCACTTGTAGCCATACTTGGGACTGCCGTTTTTCGAGCCCTCATGAGGGCCCTAAACCCTTAACCCTCAACCCTGAACCCTAAACCCTAAACGGTTCAGGTTTAACGTGTAAGGCCTGTTCCTTTTTTAAGTTTCGGGGCGCAGGCACATACAACGACCTGTACTATCTGGACACAACGGCCGGCGAGCTGTTTGCTGTTCACCGGTTTGGGGGGACGGTTTAGTTCTTGAATTGGAAACGGACCCTAAACCCTAGACCCTAAACCCTTAACCCTAAACCGTTTAGCCTTGTGAGATTTTCCTGTACACAAGCGCCGAGTTGGATTTCGTATAGTGCAAAAGCTGTTAGACGAACACTTGTATAGGCATGAACAAACATGCAAGCGTCAAATAGCAGTCATGAGACAAGTTCCTGCTTGACAGGCGCCTTGGGCTCAATCGGAAAAAGCAAGCTACGTAGTCTAGTCACTGTGACTCCGGCCCCAGTACCCCGCTTCTGAAACTGGTAGCGGAGCTGTGGAGCTCAGTGACACGTTTTTCATTCCTCGCAGCAATCTCGTCCGGAAGAGAAAGCTAAGGGGGATTTGGGTGTGAGCCAAGAAGCCGAAAGAACGTCAGCATTGCCAGTCTACAATAGACCACTGCACTGCGCAAATCCGACACCATGTCGGTAGCTGGGTTAAAGTACGACCCTGTACTTAGCCTTGACACCCCAGCAGAAACCAAGTCAGGAAGCTACATTTACAGCGGCTCCGCAGCGTCCTTCCACGACTGGGAGTTTCGCACACGTGCCCGTGTATCCCAGCATCGTGAGAGGCAGCGTCGAGAGGTCTTGAAAGACCTCCGTTCTAGCCACCAACTCAGCCGTTCTGCATCCCCACGAAAGTGGGTAGGTGGTGGCATAAGATCCCCGGACCGTCACACAGGTGATGAGAGCAGTGGAATGGCAGCCAGTCCTTCAAGTGCCCCAGGACGCCGGCGCGGCCGCCAGGCCGGTGCGGAGTCCATGTCGTCAGGAGACGGTGGCGAAGAAGAGCAACAGCCACAAGATTATGAGGTTGAGGACGACGGGCAAGCTTCGGTTGAGACTGAGCCTGTTCCCACACTCGCTTCGGTCCGCGATAGCGATCTTGACATGTCTGATGCAGTTCAGAAGACGCTGGAAGGCCTCCGTGGCGACGCCTTTCTTATCGCCCGAGACATAGGTCTCGAGAGGTTGTTGAAGCACGACGGCATTGATCTTCTCATTCAGAAGGTCAAAGACCAAGCATTTCCCTTGCAGGGGAAAGAGGCATCGGAATTGTTCAGGCAAGGCCAGTTGCTGACAGGTCCCTTGTCCAAACAATCAGGGGAGCCGATGTTGTCTTACATTTCCCGGCGAAAGCGCTGGTGGGTTACCCTAAGGGAATTGGACCCAGAAGTCAGGTTGTCAGAGGCCACGCGCGCCAGTCTCCTTGTGGAACTGTCTGGTTTGTCGCGCCAAGAGCAGCTCATGGTGCGCACCGCAGCACAAGCCGAGACAGTAGATGAGTATGCACGCGTATTGATCAAGCATCATAGTGTTGTGCATATGCGTGAACGCTTGCTCGTTGAGAAAGACAAGCCTGCCGCTAGAACATGGTCCAAGCCCCGGTGGGAGAATACCTCGTTTCAGCAGAAGCCTCGGTACGGTTACATGACACAGGGTTTCATGGAGGATGACGAGTATGAGTACCAGGAGCCAGAAAGTCAGGCCTATGTAGCCGAGGAGCATGAGGTCGAGGGAGACGAAGGCGAATGGGTTGATGACAGTGCATTAGCCTTGGCTCTCAATGCATATACAGCTATGCAGACAGAGCTTGGAGGCGAGCCAGGCGAGGAGCACGCCGAAGCATTGCAGCTGGCATACGCAGCCCAAACCACACTGACAGGAAAGCCAAACTTGCCGAGCTGAAGGCTCGCAGCCGATGCTTGCGATGCGGCGCAATCGGCCATTGGGCCGGTGACGCTGAGTGCAGGTTTAAGGGTAGTCCTGGAGGTCCTAAGGGTTCCAGTAAGGGTGGTCCAGGTGCAGAGAAGTCCGCCTCACCCGGGAAGCCCGGAATGGCACCCTCCTCGCAAGCCTACCTTGCCGCACTGAGTGACGCATCGGACGATGAGACCCCTGCCATTCACCTTTGCAACACTTCAAGAGACATGGAGGGCTATCCCGCTGAAACCAGCGGAGGACCCTCAGAGCGTCCTCGTGTTCGCAGATCGGAAGCCACTGCCATGCGTGACAGCCCACCGCCAGGGTCTGACACCTTGTTCACTTTTGGTCATCACAAAGGCCTGACGTATGAACGAGTGCTGCACACCTATCCTGGGTATGTCCTTTGGGGTCAAACACAGAAGTGTCCTTCCAAGTGTTTGGGTGATTTCCTGAACTGGGTGCATGAGCACTATGTGGTAGAAGACACGGACCCCATAGAAGTGCGTAGAAGAGACATCCCTCTTAGTACGATGATGCCCCCAACTCCCGTTGCTGACCGCGCAGCCAACGCTGAAGGCACCGCCTCATCCAGTACCGGTTTCCGGCCCAAGTGCAGGGGTGGTTGTAAGACCTTTAGCAAGACAGGGAGCAATTCGTACATAGACATGCGCACATGCAAGTCCTGTGGTACGGTAACCAAGACTCGCAAAGAACAGGTTCAGGTCGACCCTACCACATGCACGCATGCCCAGGTAGATCGTTCAGGTTCCAGCAAGACAACCAGCCGAATCAAGTGCAAGCTTTGTGGCATGATCCTAGATGAACTGCCCCAAGAAGAGAAGAAAGCTAGGGACGCAGCCGCAGCACAGCTGCGAGACACGAACACCCTAGACTTCGACATGATGCGCTCTATAGTGGGCAGAACAGGGGACCGAGTGCCTGTAGAAGTGGTCGTACCAGCCCTTGAACAGTTCAAGGAGGCAGTTGAGGGTCACTTCGTCACCGAACCTTCGATAACGAGGGGAGACTTGTTTGCCTACCTTCAAGAGGCTCTGGACGATCATGCGGATGATGCGAGCCCCACGAGCGCGAGTTGGGAGATGGCTTCATCGGGAAGAAGGCCCGGTACAGCAATGGTTGCCATGCTTGCTGGACCACACGAGGGAGTCACAGACACGAACCCCAGTTTGAGCAAACTCCCCGTGGTTAACATTCGCACATCCCCACATGTTTTCGCAGTCCTGGATGAAGGGTGTAACTCAACGGTTCATGGCGAGGATTGGGGTCACGAGAGCATGTCCAAGTATGCGAGCTTTGGGTATTCCACGAGGTTTGCGAAGGAGACTTCCAAGACCTTCAAGGGTTTGAGTGGTTCCACTTCCACGCTTGGGACCCGAACCTTTCCTTTCTGCCTTTTGCCCTTGGATTCAGTTGAGGGCGAGGAGGTTTCCCATAGGGAAAGATTGTGTGGAGCGCTAGATTCCCATGAGATCCCTGGTGGGGCACCCCTCCTACTATCGCTTCATGCCCAGAGTCAACTTGGGATGGCAAAAGACCTACACTTGGGGACGTGCTCCGTAAGGCTCCCGTCGAACCCCGACAAGACCATTGAACTCAAGTTGCATCGGACATCAGACTCAGGTTTGCTTTGCATTTGCCTAACCGATGGTCTCTTGCAAGGGAAACAACCCCGCCTTGTTCGAGGATTTGCGATCCCACCGCCACCTGCAGGTGCTGCCCGAGCAATAGCAGCAGAGGGTTCGGATAAGTGCGCAAACAGCAAGGTCACCAAACGAAAGGCCTCTTCAATGCAGACGCACTCTATAAGTGAACCCCAAGGTGAGAACACAAATTTGACAGCAGCCATGGCCATCGCACCTTCACAGCGCCCCGCGCCTAAGGCGAGGCCTCAGCAGCTGAATTCCGAGACCTTCCCCACCGAGGGAGGAGACAATCCCAAGCACGCCGCGGACATTTTTACCTTCGGCTACAACTTCGAGGAGGCCGTCGATAAGATCCGCAACGCTTGGGAGCCACAGCATTTCGCTGATATGTTTAGTGAGATGCGCTCGGCAGAGGCTACCCTTGAACTCGGAGGCGCATTCGTCGGCATCTTCTTTGACCTGACATACTTGCCGAATGCTAGGAGTTTGGATCCTGAGCTCGCAGATCGCAAGCGAGATACAAGCCTCCGAGATCATGTGGGTTCCCACCCTTCTATAATGAAGGCGATAGCTGCAGACCCTGGATTCCTGCAACATTGCAGAGCCATCCGTTCCAAGGTGAAGAAGTCAATGGAGCAGGGCTACCAGGCGATGAACATTAGCGTTGTCTGCAAACAAAACCGGCACCGTTCCGTGGCAGGAGGCATCCTCATTGAGCACATGCTACTTCGCGTTGAAGGACTTCATGTTTCCATGCAGCATTGCAACAGCGAACAGTCCTGGCCGCTCATGGGTGGATCTTGCCGCGGGCATTGCAGCTGGTGCACACATCGCACAGACGATGCGAAGGCGAGCTACGAACAGGTGTTAGCCGACTTCATCAAGTATCTGGAAGGCGATGTCAAGGAGAGCACCACATGCATTTTGCATTGTGAGTCAGAACCTGAAAGGGCCCCGGGCACAGCTCCGGAGGAAGTCACTGATCTGGACGCAGACGATGAGGTGGAAGAGGTCCCGTCAGATCCGCTGGAAGTAGCGCCTGGAGAGGGAGAGTCAGCATCGCAGGCAGCTACTCGATTGGGGCTTCGTGGCAAGCAGCACACCTCCTACGTGGCGAAGTGGGACCCGAGCTCCCTGACAGGGAGGCTCCATCAGCAAGCGGGCTCAGGTGTGTTCACTGCCACCTCAAGTCATCTGCCAGTTCAGGCCCAGGTACAAACCCTGGAGAGGAAGTTAGCGCTGCGCGACAAGGAAGTCGAGTCACTTCGAAGCAAACTTCGAAGCAAGCTCCGGGACGCCGGGCGGGACAGGCAGGAGGCGGAACGGAGAGCGGAGCGTGCAGAACAGCTCCTGCAGGATGCCCTTGCCCAGTTTGGTGGTCGTTCCCGCTCCCGACATCGACACCATGACCGAAGGGCAAGGAGCAGTTCGAGTGACTCCCGGAGAAAGGTCCGGAGGGAGAGATCAAGCCACCACGATGATCACAGAGCGCAGTCTTCTCGCCGAGAGTCGTCTTCTTATCGTGATCGTGACCGTGATCAGTGGCACCCCAGCAGCAGCTACCGCGACACCGTTCGCGAGACCTCCTCATACGACCAGAACCAGTGGGATGCGTGGGATGATGAGTGGTCCCGAGCTGGCGATTGGGATCATCAGGCTCCGCCCGAGCCACCCAAGCCACCTGTGAGACGATGGACCCCACATTTGGAGGCGCGTGCCAACAGGGCCGCCGACGAGGAGTTCTGGCAGAGGCGCTTTGAGGAGAATCGACCCCTGGACAGGCGGGAGCTCAAGAACTACTTCCATGATCCGGCGGCTGACAACTCTAACGCCGCCTGGGCGCAGTGGAGGAAGAGTCAGGGCCCCGCACCGCCGGGAGAGGGCAAACGCATCAAGTTGGATCCGGCAATCCTCGCTTTGGATCTTACGGAGATTCCAACTTCGGACGACGCCAGCCTTTCGTGGAACAGGCGAGTCCTGGTCGACCTGCTCCCGGACCAGGTGATGCACGAGTTCTGCGGCCTTCTGTATGGGCGTCCGAGTCCGGCGTTGTGGATTGGCCCTTACATGCCCAAATCCTTCTCCACTCAGGATCTGGAACACACGGACAAGTCCGAGCGCCACAACTTCAAGGTGACTGCCGTGACCCCTCACACGAGGGAGGGATACAAGCCTTGTGGGAATGTCAAAGGCCCTACACCGATCGGGTGGCTGTTTCTCAACGACAACCCGAAGAACAAGGGCGGCGTGTGGATCCCACAGGGGACGGTGTGTCCTCCCGGTCACAGTACCGAGGATGTTTGCGGTGAATTCAAGGCCGAGCAAGTGTGCCCAACCGAGCCTCCGCCAAGTGGAGGTGCGTACCTTGTGCTTTGGTTGTATCCAAAGGCCTTTGCACCGGACACAGTTCCGAAGACCCTTGCAGACCGCGATGAGCTGAGCGCATATATGGCGTCATTGCAGGGGGTTAATGACTTTGGGGAGTTCAAGCAGGTAAGGTTCGATGTTGAGGATTCCGACGATGAGTTTGAGCTAATCCCTGCACATGATGGTCCCAGAGCAATTACCCGTGACACTGCACACTCACTGCCCAAACTCAGCAACAGGCAGAGGAAGAGGGTGCTTAGTGGGATTCAGGAAATGGTTGCGGGAGATCGTGTGTTGCAAGCGATTGCATTCAACGCAGCAGTGGCTACGGATCACATGATTGCCTTCACCCCCACTGAGCCTCCTATTTCACACTGCAAATGGGTACCCGAATCCCTTGACGCGCAGGTGATCAGCGAGACCATTGCCAACCTGGAGACAGGTGTGCCCGGTCTCATAGTTCTGAGGGTCGACGCTCCCACCGAGGAGTTGTGTCTAGAGTGTGAGTGCCTAGCTGACACAGCTGGAGTGAGCATTGTCTTGGTGAGCCCCTATGGATGCCCAACACTCGAAAGTACTGTCGAGGTAAGAGGAGACTTGAATGTTTCCGGGATAGGGCCGAACATCGACGATGCACTCCAGGTTTTGTCCACATGGACTGAGAGCTATGGCATGAGCCCCCGTTGCTATGCAGACACGGAAGAACATGATTTCTGGGCCACATGTCGTGACATTTCACAGGAGCTTTACCTGAACTCTTACACACGCAATTGCTTTGTAGGGTCGGAAGGTTTAGGTTCCGACATGGAAGATCAGGAACTCATCCCCGATGAAGAGATGGCTGAACTACTTAGGGAGCAAGACAATGGGGCCTCAGTGTTCACCCCTGAAGAGAGAGAGCAACTCATTCTCGAGCAACTGTCCTTCCCAGGTACTCCGGCATCGGAGGAA